TTTATGTTGAGATGCATGTAATTTCATATTGAAATATTTTTCTGATGAAACTTGAGATCTTGATAGCTGATGAATAAAAAACAAAAAGAAAATATAATAAATATTGTGCGTGTATAAAGAGATTTTCCAAAAATAAATTATGTTTATTTTCCTAAATGTGATAAATAGCAACAAAATAGCTATGACTTTTTTCTTTGCTCATTAGTGACAACTTTAGCCACAGATTTTTTGTTGATACGTGGCTACCAATTTTAACAACAATTCCATAACATTATAGATTTTGCAATTTTCAGTTATATAAATTAAACTGTATTAACTATTTCATACTATATATATAATAGATCATAACAGAAAACTTAAATATTTAAACATAATAAAATCGTGAGTATAATACAACTTACACAAATGAGTTAAACAAAGAAAAGAATAATAAGACATCAAAAGTTCAAACTGAAAACATGATTGTTGGTTCTGGGATAGCGAAAGGTCGGTCAAGGTATGTGTAGCTGCCGCAGCTTCAGTGGGAGATGTTAAGATGTGGGGCAGCTGAGACCGATGAGGTAGCTGTTCTGCCCATAATCTGAAAACCTGCAATTTTCTTTTAGTGTCAGAGTTACTACACATAATCGCCTGTGATATTGAAAATATATCAAGGAAATGTTTTTACTGGTAATCGTAGGTAAAGTGATCTCCTTTAGTTATGTAGTAGGTAAATATATGTCTTTCAACAAAAATCACCACCAAGGACTAGATAACTTATAATAAAGGTTATGAGATAGGAATATAGACTCATTACATAGTTAAGATAGCAAATACAATCTTGTGTGAGACATTAGACCTCTCATAACTGGGAAGATGATTTCAAATACACTTATAGAAACTTATCTTATACAATAAAATAGGCTTTTCTCTCTTCTCATGCATCCACATCAGCATTTGTGAGGGGGGCAAAAAATGTCATGTCATCAATAATCCATTTAAATTAGACCGATCACAATTTAGCTCTCACGTCTTGGTTTAAATTGGTTTCTCTTTCTCGGTTTTGCAGCCCACTGTCATCATTTTTTTTAATGTTTTTAGACTGAAAAATTGTAGTGGACTTTTTTAAAAAATCAAACAAGACCCATATGCTATTATTGTAAAAAGTTATGTACGTTTCAGAAAACCTTGCGACGAAACTGATACGTCGTCTTTCTCTGATTCATCATCAACTCTCTCTCACAAAACCTAAATCGCTCATGCGTCTCTCTCTTTAAAGGTGTATTCTTAAACGCTTACTTCTGATTTTATTTTTCTCTTTATATTTCTTCTCATGTTTTGTTTTTGTTAAGATTACTAATCCTTGGATAATTGATCAAGAAAATTATTTGCCGGTTTCGTCAATCTAGCTTCATGATAGGTGAATGCCAATGATTAAGATCTCAATCTGTAGTTTCTTATGTGATTTGCATGTTCTTATTCGATTGGTTTTATTTGTTATATATTGTGAATCGTATTTTCGTCTTTAGAATACAACAGTTGGTCTTTCCTTCTCTTTCTAGATTTATTTATCCGCTGTGATCAAGTGTTGTGATTTTATGACATAATTGAATTTTGCATCGACAGCAACACTTTTTTTATGCCTATTGATTAACTTATGTGTATACTCTAATCAATCTATACCTTACAAAAACGAATCAGAATTGCTGTTTGGAAAAAAATCAATAGGAAGTTTTTAGGCGGTTTTTGGAAGTGGTGAAGCTTTTTAGTGAAATTTTTGCTCTATTTTACAATTTAGAATTTATTGTTCAAGAACATGGCTCCCAGAACCCTCGATTGAAAATGTCCATGGCGATATCCGCGAGCCCTCAAGTACGTTTTCTCCATTTCTTAAATGTGTTAAATTTCTCATTGTATTTTGTGTTATGATTTTGAATATCACCGAAAGCATTTGTGTATCAGTGATTCTCTTATGCGAGTAAATAAGCTTTGGTTGTTCAAATTATAGAGCTCATTGAAATTTTTAAAAAACATTATAAGAGAGATAGTTAAAGGTAGTATCCAGATATTTTATTCAGTGAAACAAAATATTCTCACCATTATATAGTTGCAGGAGTGGTTCCAGATATTGGACTTACTATGCATCAATTTTTCCGAGCAAACAACAATTCACTGTTTTCTTATATACAAGACGACAAGCATTAGGATTACAAGCCAAAGATCCAAAGCCGAGTCAGTCAGTGATTATGCATTTAACTGCTTTTTTAACTTTTAAGCATATATAAACTTCACCAAAAAATCTAACTTATTGTACAAGTCACTTTGATCTGTGCAGCTCATTTAAGGCACCTTTTTCTATCTACACAGACACCAGACTGGAGAAACAACCAGAGTCAGATTAGTCAAACCAAAGTTTGGTTCTTGGCTCATGCTTGGAAACATGCCAAAGAGGAAAAAAATGTCTATTTAATGTGAAACTGGACCATTCAAAGTTTTTTCTCTATGCTAACCTCTAAAATAAAACCAACCCACCTCTGCAAATTTATCACTCTCCAGCTTCTTCTTACTTCTTTCAGGTCTTTCTCAACAGGGAAGAATGTGTAGAGTAACTGAGTGAATTTTAAAGTTCGCTTCTTGCCCCCTTTCACTTTGAACTGGTGAGTTAAATTTTGAATGTTTCAACAGCAAGACCGAAATGTTGCATTACTGACTTTTGATTCTGAATTGCAGAGAGGGAAGAAAGATGAAAACATCTCATTGTCATCAAATGCTCTCCCGCTTATGGTGACCGTGAGATTAAGAAGTAGTAATAAATAGCTACTTGATTCATTCATGGAAACAAGGATTGTGTTTGAAACGATGAAAGATGATAATGTTCTATGTTCTAGATCGATGATCTCAGGTTACATGAAACAAGTTTTTGTGGAGGATGCTGGAGAGATTGTACGACCAAAGTGAATGATGTTGTGGTTTACAATGCAATGGTTGAAGTTTTAAGCAGGACCGTTGAAACTATATTTTCTGTGGTGATTAAGAGAATAAGAGGAAATAATTACAGAATTGGTGATTAATAAACATTTTGTATTACTAAAAATGGTTGCCCATTTGTATGTTTGTGTTTCTGTTTTGTTGGTGCGCTCATAGAGGTTGTGTTTTCGGTAACCAATAAACACTAAGTCACCAACATGGAACTTATCCATGGCATCTTTGAACTCATGCATTGCAGATTGACATCAGTAGAATAAAGCAAGAATATGTGCTTCCAAGCAATCTGTGTAATAATAGATACCCACCCCCACCCATTAGAAATAAATCGTTGAATGCATAAGCATCGTAAATCCAGTCACACATGTTTTTATAATCCCAAAAACCTTGAGACTTTGCTTTGAGTTCTCAGTAACAAATCGTGATGTTTTATTTACTTGAACCATTTTCTAAAAATATCTTCATATAAAATATAAAATTATATATATATATATATATTTATAATCGTTGAGATCTTTATAGTCCACATTAATATTAATTTTCAAATCATAATAACCAAAATCAACATAACTTTAAACAAATAATGGAATTGATCAATTTAGTTATACTAATATAATTATATTTTAATACATCCTATAGTATTAAAAAGTGATGATTAAGATATATCTATATAATTTCAAAACTTTATATATATATATATATATATATATATATATATATATATTATAAATTTTCATATTAGATACAATAATCTAGAGATTTATTCATTTTAAAAATAGTATTAGCATAGTCTACTTTAGAAACAGTAAAATTACCAATTTTTAAATTTAAAATATTAAAACTTCGCGCGGACAAACCCCTAGTAATCTATATTATAATGATTCACTTTTGAAGCTCCTAAGGCTATCCACCTCAGCAAGTTTACGGGTCCCACATGTGTTATTAGGGAAAACAAAAACGTATAACATTTTGTAAGATTAAATGTTATCGATGAGTGATGAAATGGCTCAGTGGTGTAAGTTGGTGACTAGAAGTTGGTACCGCGAGTGTGCGGGTTCGAAACGCAGTGTTTGCATGTAATTTTTTTTTAATTTGGACTTTTCGAGATACCTAAACGCTTAGGGAGATTCATAATAATTTTTTATGCTGGTTGTTGGGATACAAAATGGCTTAAGGATTTGAAACTTTATGAGACCATCTTAGATACTTTTATAAGAAATGTTATCATGTTCTTACCTCCAATATCATTTCAATTCAGTTATAATAATCAAATAAAATAAAAACATATTTTTTCAATAATAAATATTTACCCCGAACCATTCAGATCGGCCATAAATCTCATATACATCACAATTAAAAAAAAAAAAATATATATATATATATATATATATATATATATAACATAATTTCAGAAAAAAAATTACACTAATAAACACATGTCCTTTTTTGTCTTGTCTCCATTAATTATTTTTTTACATGAAATCACTAATAACAGTAATGCTCGATAAAATCACTAATAAAGGGAATGCTCGATAAAATCACTACGAAGATAAAATATGAAAATATCAACCCATATGAATTTGATGTTTATTCTTTTATCAGACTAATCAAATTGTGTGACTTCTAATGTTTCATTCATCACCATTATAGATAAGCCAAATAAACAAATGTTAAAAAAAACAGCAAAGTCTCATACACAAAACTACACAACACATCAACAATGTATCCAACCCCCGCGCTTGCGCGGGGACTATGCATCTAGTGAAATAAAAGGGAGAGAAAATGGAACATACAGAATATACACAGGACTGAAATCGGGAGTTCACATGGTATTCCAGTCATTGTGTCGATTCCTCTCACAACGTAAGATAGATAAAGTGCTGGGAGAGAATTGTTGGGCTCACTGTATTCTCCTTGTATTTAAGCATCTTGTTCTGATAAATCTGTAAGATAGATTTACATGAACCCTAAGATCTTTAAACATCTAGGTTAATCACATAATAGAATCATATGAATGTTTATAGGCTTACCTGGATTTATTGTGCCTGAGAGATCTTCCAGAGCGGATTGAATCTTGAAGGGAAGACGAACAAAAAATCGGATAACATATCACTAACAACGTAGTTTCTCACCTTATAGACACCCTTCTCAAGATGATCTGATCCAACATCCATGAGCTCAAGAGCCTCGTAGATACTAATGGAGGCTCCACTCGAAACCACATCTGTAACCTTGACACCCCTATACCGTTATCAGATAAATATCCAGCAAGCATGACTTTCATTTATATGAATCCAAATCAATCACTGACAAACATTAACGTGAGACCAAAGAACATATCCAAATCCTGAAATCTAGGTGAAGGATCAATAAAACATTATCAAGACCATGGTCGATGATCAGCGATTCATCATCTTCTGACAATATCTATTCACACTATATAAAACCTAAAGGACATCACGTTGGGTATGTTTTCTAATCTTTATTAAGTACATATATATAGGAGTACGACACATGTATATACATGGCTGGAATGGTACAATAAGATACAATTGCATGTGGAAATATTTATTTGTGCTACCGGTGTTTTTCGAGCCACAACTACCATGTTCAAGGATGCTGTTGACTCAATGCTTTACCGCTGGCTGCGGGAGTTGTAGATGACAAATTCAGATATGCTTTCCTGAGGCTGAAAGCCTCGAGAAAAGTTTGGAAAGGTTTCAGTCACGTAGGGTAATAGCATGATAGAGTCAACTGGATTGACATAACTAATTAAAATCAGCTAAATAGTTCAAGTTCAATATATCCTCTCCGAATGAAACAGAAATTCTATTTATGCCAAATTTCTATAGATTTTCTTACTAGTTCTTAGTTTCAGCTGTAAACCTTGTTTCTCAGATTGCCATCATCGTGGACGGAGATATTCTCCATCTACTCCCTGGACGCGTGAAGATGGTCCTCATCATTTCTCTGAGCCCATCATTTTCTCTTGGAGAGAGAAATAGAAAAGGGTCATTATATGCTGCAATTCCAACTGGTAACGTTACAGTCAAAACTTTTGGAAGATCGAAAATGAAGAGTCGGGGAGAAGAAGACGAAGAGGCACTACAAGAAAACATGGCAATTCTGACGAACATTTCGACGGAAACTGAAATCCTCGGTAAACTCCGAGGGCATTCCGAGGAAATTCTGAGGAAACCTAAATTTTGGGTTTCCTCGGAATTTACCGACGGAATTCCGAGGAAAAAGTCGAGGAAGTTCCGAGGACGTTTCGAGGCAATACCGAGGAGACCAAAAGTTTGGGTTTCCTCAGAATTTCCTCGGAATATACCGATAGAATTCCGAGGAAAACCGTATTCGTCGGAAAAAACCGACGCAAATCCGAGGTTATATTATAGCCGTTAGAGAGCCGTTGGGAATTTTAATAATTCCGAGGAAATTTCGAGGAACTAGCCGTTTTCGTCGGAATTTCCTCAGAATTGTCGGCAATTTCATCAATAAATACAAGCACCCTCATCGTCTTCATTCACTCCATATCATCATCCTCTCACATACTATATTTACACACGAATGATTGAAGAAAATCATGTCTTCTTCTAATTATTATCGTTCTTGGATCGATCGTCCTCATTTGGATCCTAACACGAGATTGCTTACGGAAGAGTACCAAAGAGGTTTAGGCGAATTCATGGCGTTAGTTCAACGACAACCGGAAGCAAAAACGGATATGTTAAGATGTCCTTGCTCTACTTGTAAAAATAAAAAGGTTATAAAGGAGTTGGATGTTTGGACTCATCTATATTTGAGAGGGTTTACACGAAGTTACAAAGTTTGGTATCATCATGGAGAAACTGATTATGAATATGGTAGTACTAGCGAACCTCAGCATGCGGTTAGGTTAGAAGAACCAATTAGAACGGAGGTAGATTATGGTGTTGGTATTGAGCATATGGTAAATGATCATTTTAGAGGGGAAGATTTACCCAATGCAGAAGCTAGGAGATTCTTTGATATGTTGGATGCAGGAAAGCAACCTTTGTACGAAGGTTGCAGAGATGGTCATTCAGCTTTATCATCTGCAACAAGACTGATGGGCATTAAAACAGATTATAATTTGGCTGAAGACTGTGTGGATGCGATTGCTAATTTTGTAAAAGGTATTCTACCTGAGGATAATGTAGCCCCTGGTTCATACTACGAGGTTCATAAACTGGTAGCTGGTCTTGGTTTGTCGTATCAGGTAATAGATGTATGCAGCGATAACTGCATGATATATTGGAGGGCGGATGAGCAGCGGATTACATGCAAATTTTGTGGGAAGGCTCGTTATAAAGATACAAGTGGAAGAGTCCAGTGCCATACAAAAGGATGTGGTATTTGCCTTTGACGGAAATGTTGCAGAGGTTGTATCAGCCTGAACACACAGCGCAACCAATGAGATGGCATGCAGAGCATTCAAGAGATGGTGAGATTAGACATCCTTCAGATGCAAAAGCTTTGAAGCATTTCCAATCAACATATCCAAATTTTGCGTATGAGAGAAGAAATGTCTACCTTGGATTATGTACAGATGGTTTCAGCCCTTTTTGCAAGCATGGAAGACAATATTCTCTATGGCCAGTCATTCTTACACCATACAACTTACCGCCAAACTTGTGCTTGCGTCGAGAGTTTCTGTTTCTCTCCATTCTCGTTCCTGGGCCAGAGCATCCTAGGAGATCACTTGATGTGTTTCTTCAGCCACTAATATATGAGTTGCAACAACTATGGGCTCAAGGTGCTGAAACATACGATGTTTCGTGTAAGGAAAACTTTCAAATGCGGGAAGTACTTATGTTGATAATAAGTGATTTTTCAGCATATGGATGGACAACGCATGGAAAGCTATCATGTCCATATTGTCAAGATAACACTGATGCTTTCCAATTAAAACACGGAAGGAAAACGTGTTGGTTTGACTGTGAGAGGAGATTCCTACCACCTGACCATCCATATCGTAGGAGTAGAAATTTTTTTACGAAGAACAAGAGGGTGTTTGACGGTCCACCTCCAGAAATTTGTGGGGCAGATTTGTTGACACAACTAAGGGATTTTGGTGCAGAAAGGACGCCAGACGTTGGTGGACACGTGCATTATCCGGTAGATGCTGTAGGAGAACTACATAACTGGCACAAAAGAGTATTTTCTGGGATCTGCCATACTGGAAGGATCATCTGCTGAGGCATAATTTAGATGTCATGCATATTGAGAAGAATTTTTTTGACAATCTTATGAACACGATCCTTAACGTTCAAGGTAAAACAAAGGATAATTTGAATTCAAGATTGGATTTAGTCGATATATGTGCTCGTTCAGAACTTCATGTTGATGAGAATGGTAGGTCTCCTTTTCCTATATACCGACTAGATGCAAAGGCAAATGATGCGTTCTTTGAGTGGATTTTAAAGGATGTGGAATTTCCAGACGGTTATGCATCAAATTTGCGTAATTGTGTCGACAGAAACGAAGGAAAATTTATCGGCTTGAAGAGTCACGAATGCCATGTAATGATGCAGTGCCTCCTGCCATTTGCCTTCAAGGAACTGTTACCACGAAATGTTTCACGAGATCAGTGACTCTTGAAGGTATTGAAAATTTGAAGACTAACATAGTTGTGATTCAGTGCAACCTTGCAAAGATATTTCCTCCATCATTTTTTGATGTTATGGAGCATCTTGTTATTCACCTGGTAAGAGAATTGGAACTTGGTGGTCCAGTGCAGTATAGATGGATGTATCTGTATGAGCGGTATATGTTCCATCTGAAGAAGATGGTAAAAAATTTAAGAAGGGTAGAAGGTTCTATAGTCGCACAGATGATCAATGAAGAAACTTCAAACTTTGCCGAGTACTACTTCCCAGCAGAAGTGCAGTCCAAAAACAGAAGACCAGCTCAGCATGATGATAGAGGTGAAAGGGCAACATATTATGTTACGGTTCTAGACATCTTCACAGATGTTGGGCGACTTAGCGGAAAACCAAATAACCGTCGACTTACTGAGCAGGAGCACAGTCATTTGCAAACATATTTGCTCACCAACTGTGAAGATGTTCTTCAATATGAGAGGTAAATAAATTTACAAATTTATATTTTAACAAGTTGAAATTTTAAATTTTAATTACATTATTGTATATGTACAGGATTTATATGGCAGAAAAGCGGTTCGAACATAGACACGCCACAGAGGAGGAACTAGAAGAACTAAAGCAGAGAGAATTTGCTGGATGGATGTTTTCTTATGTGAGTGCTTAAAATAAATTAAAATATTATTTATACTAATTCACATATATTGAATGACATAATTTCTATTAATAGCTGTCTGCTGGTATGGCGAGAGATGAAACATTTGACGATTGGATACGCGAGATGGTGTGCAGACCAAAGTATGTTGTGAAGTCATATCCTAGATTTTGTACTCGAGGATATGCATTCACAACTCAAAAGAGGAGACGTTCAAGTACGACTTATGATGCTGGCGGTTGTTCTGCATCAGGAGAAGATGTATACTACGGAAACATACTGGAGATTTTCGAAATCAGGTATCCGGACATGGTTGGATTGCGATGTATTGTTTTCTATTGTGATTGATACGACAACACCCCGGATCGAGGTGTGAGAACAGATGCATTTGGTGTCACATCAGTACATTCGAGGCAAAAGCTGCAATATTATGATCCTTTCATTCTTGCTTCTCAGGCCGATCAGGTAATTAAATATATATATATATGTCAATATATATATTTGAGTTACAAATTTACAAATAATTTTTAAATGTTAATTTACAGGTTTGTTATATCAAGTACCCTCGGGTTAGGAACAAAGATGATCCAGGGTTCACTGTTACATCACTCAACCCGAGAGGCCGAGTTCAGGGAAGTTCTGAGCTTGAAGACCCACTACAAACAAATACATCGGACAACTTAAGTGCAGCAGAAGATGTAGCTGCAGTTGACCTTGTAGTCGTTTTTACCGATTTTGGAGAGGAAGCCATCGTTCACGTAGAGTATGAACCAGAGATTGGAGAGTTTCACAAAGATCTAGATTCAGATTTAGCTGGTGATGATGATAACTCTGAAACAGAGTAGTATCGAAAATCCTTTTTTAAAAAAAAAAATACTATTCCGAGGAAATACCGAGGAAGAACATCATTACCTTGGAATTTCCTCGGAATATATTGAGGAAATACCGAGGAAAACATCATTTCCTCGGAATTTCCTAAGTATATTCCGAGGAAATTCCGAGGAATAAATATATTTGCTCCGAAAATATAGTTTTCCGTTTAGAAATTGAACATGCAACTTGAATTATCCTTATTTACTGTTTTAGGTTGATTATAAAGTAAAAAACTTGTATGTTTTGAAGAAATAAAATCTCTTCCAATTGAGTAAACGAAATTCCCACACAAATAGATAAACACTTATACACTTTAATGAATGGAAACGTCAAGACGTGTACTCGTTTTCTAAATTTGTAATTTCATGGTTTATAGGCATCTATTGAAAGAATCTTCAATGTTATCCATTGAAAAACTGTCAAATTGTTCAAGGAATGGTCTACCGTATCAAAAATTTAGGTTTTGAAACCCCAAACAAAGTTTCCTCGGAATATACCGATGAAATACCGAGGAAATAGGCCTTCTTCCTCGGAATTTCCTCGGAATATACCGAAGAAATTCCGAGGAAACCTTTTTGGAATTTAGGTTTTGAAACCCCAAACAAGTTTTCCTCGGAATTTCCTCGGTATATTCCGATGAACGTACCCACCAATAGGAAGACATGCAGAGCATATTCCGATTTAAAGTTAATTCCGAGGAAATTCCGACGGAGTTATATATGTCCGTCGGAATTTCCTCAGAATATTTCATTAACCGGAAAATCAAACCGCCAAAAACT